TCCCCAATATAGTTAAGGCCTATCATGGCCAGTAATGAAGACGTTATACCCTTATTAGGGACAATTAGGCATGCCCCTACATCATATAGCCCCACCAATTCAAACTCTCCCGACTATCTTAGCCAGGTCAGTAGTGGCTCTCACCTTGCCCCACACTTCTCTTCCATTAATACCATCAAGTAACGCACCCCCATCACCTTCACCCTATCCACCTATGAGTACCCCGATCCCAGGCTCTCCATTGACCACGTCTCTGAACACTGCAACTACTACCCACTCCTCAATGCCTATTAGTACATTATCCACCCAAGTCAAGCCTCAGTCTCCCGGAGACATTTCCTCCCAACTTCCTCAACTTCATCACCTTTACCCCCACAACGTTCTTCATCAATCACTCCATCCTCCCTTATTACAACTTTACAGCTTTATTCTCCACCACTACGTATTACTACCCCCCTCAATAATACTCCCTCTTCCACACGTCCCCGTCCTTCTGCCACCACCATCTCTACAAATATCTTAAATATTCTATTGAGACTAGCCAAATGGGACAGATTTTTCGTGATCCCTCCTACAGTTCCTTACTCTGACAACACCTCGTTCGGCAATGTCTCTAAAAACAAGTAGGCAGTCTCTTTCCGTAGCCGTCCCATCCGTTCCCATCTTGTTACAGTTACATCCGAAACCCAAGCTATAGCAGTATCAACTGTCTTTCTGGCAACCCCCTTCCTGTAGAATCTCATGCAACCCTTAATACTTGTACCAACTGTACTCGATCTCCCCAGTAAACTGCCCTATCTAAGATCAGATTGTGGAGAAGACTTACTCGCCTGCCTCACGGACTATGATGTAATAACAGTACAGTGCTACTCCATACCCCCTACAGGTCATCGTAAGAACCCCACCAACATTACCAAATTACTTTCCGTAGACATGACCTTCCATTTAATGTCTACATTGGTGGAGAATCCCTCCCTGTCTGACCATACCCCCCCCCCCGTCAATGTCAAAACCGTTGGCGTTTAGGACATCCAAACAATGCCGTTCCACAGCCCGATGCCCTCTGTGTGCCCAACCTGGTCATAATCGGTCAAACTCCTCGGCACGGTCACGCACATGGGCTAATTGCAACGGTTCTCATAATATATTTTATAGAGCCTGCCCCATCTACAAATTTGAGTCTGAGGTGGCAACTCTCAGATACAGACTTGGTCTCACTCTGCATGAAGCCAGGCAGGAAGCACGCCGTCGAGGTTTCTCATGCCTTACTCCAGTATTGTTGCTCGCTCTGCCACTCCCATCCCTCCCCAGATGTTCCTACACCCTCCCCTATACCTATCCCTCCTACATCTTACTTCCCCGCTTCTACTTCCTACCTTTCCCAGTCAAATTCTTTTGCCACTCTAAATTCAGACACTCCAATATCTACATCAGCCCCAACACCTTCCGCTCTCCCTCCCCGCACTACCCGCAGACACCAGTCTCCTCCCCCACCCTCTCACAAGAAAACCTTTGTTTCACAAAACTCTCCAACCAACTCCGTTTTAGAAACTCTTGAAGATATTCAAAACTATCTGCTCGAGTTCCAAAATGACACCGAAAACCCGCATCCACCCTCAAAACTCCCGCTCCCCCCACACTCAAAGTGACTACTTATATTCCCCGTACACCCCTTCCTCCTACTCCCTCCCGACACAGTCCATCCCCTCAGCTCCAACTACCTACATTAACCCTCCCTCCATCCCCTCTTGGATACACACATGAATCCCTTATGTCACAACTAGGCCCTTCCCCAGATCCTCCACCTCCTGATACCCATCCTGGTACTACGCCCCCCCCATCTCATTCGTTATCTCACCTCCTGGCTCCCGCTTCAAATTCTTCAATATGCACTGTATCCGTTATCACTTACGGAGTTATAGCTCTCCTACATTGGGATATTCGCGGTTTCCGTTCACACAGACCTGACTTTCGTCATATCCTTTCTTCTTATAACCCATCCATTATTCACCTCCAAGAGACTCCTTACACATCTTCCTATACCAATTCCCAACTACCATTTTGTCTCTTCCTCACTCCCTTTATGTCTCGTCTATACTTATCCATCAGAAAACACCTTATGTCATACCTCCCTTTCAAACCACTGTCCCGTGCACAGTTATTCGCATCTTCGTCGTTGGATCACAATCATTTCAATATACTTCTCCCTTTCCCACCTATTGACTTTGTGGTTGAAACTCTAATTTCCCAACTCCAACCACTTTTCCTTATAGTTGGTGATTTTAACGGCCGCCATACTCTGTGGGGTGATTCTAACACCCTCTCGAGGCCGATCCCTAGAATGCTTCCTCTCCACAAATAACCTTATTTTTCTAAATTCAAACCGCTTTGACATGCGCAATCGTTTTCATGCCTTGACTTCTCTCTGCGCTCACCGCACCCCCATCACCTTCGCCCTATCCTCCTATGAGTCCTAAAATGCTCTTTTTTCTTCCTCCAAACTCAATGCTGCCTTACAGTCGTGTGGCACGCATCATTCATGAAGACCCTGACGGTATTCACTATCGTATGTTGCGACATCTCCTATCTTCCTCTCTATCCTTCCAATTAACTATTTTCAACCACATATGGACATCAGGAAATTTTCCTTCTCATTGGCGAAAAGCTCTCATCCTTTCTTTGAAACGCAATAAAATCGGGTACCCTCCCTCAAGATTACCTCATCGCTCTAACTAGCTGCTTGTGCAAACTACTAGAACGAATGGGTAACTTCCACTTAATGTGGTATCTCGAATCTCACAATCCTCTCTCCTTCCCAGTTTGGTTTCCGCCGTACCCGAGGTACAGCACACCCCCTTGCCCATTTCGAGACATATTACATCTGCAGCCACAGGCCATGAATCCGTATTAGCCATATTCCTTGACCTAGAAAAAAACATATGGTACTACATGGCGGTACCATATTCTCCAACAACACGGAAACATGGGTGTGTTCATAAAGTCTTTCCTCTCCAAACGTACTTTCCAGGTCAAAATCGCCTCTTCTACGTCATCCTTTCCTTAATTCGATGGCCGTGTGCTCAGCACCACTTTATTCCTTCTTGCTGTCAATGGCATTATCTCAGTTCTACCATCAAGAGCCTGGGCATCACTATTTGTATATGATTTAACCATCCATGCCTCTGGCACATCCATACCAAATCTGTCAATTCTTTCAGTCTGCAATAACATCAGTATCTTCCTGGGCCACTAACATTGGCTTCCGCTTTTCTACCTCCAAATCTTTCTCCATCCCTTTTTCTCACGCACGTGTAGGTCCCCAACCTCCACTCTTCTTATGTGGCGCTCCACTCCAATACCGTTCCTTTGGCAAATTCCTTGGCGTTATTTTTGACTTCAAATTGCCCTGGCGAGACCAGGAGAGATCTTTTACATTTAAGAAAAAGCTCATCGCCGCCTCTGAATCTTACAACTCTTTCCCACATATCCTGATCGCAAAACTCATTTATCTTCATGTTACCTTGATCCTCTTCACTCTAGATTTTGGATGCCATAGCTACTCCTCTGCTTCAACCTCCATTCTTGCTCACTTTGATACTATCTACTACTGAGGTCTTCACTTAGCCCTAGGCGCCTTCCGCTCCTCTCCAGTTGAGAGCCTATATACTAAGTCAGGCACACCATCTCTCTCTCGACGCTGTACCCTTCTTTCTCTCCGATGCTATGCTCGATTCCACCAACTCTTCCTCACCAGACTAACTATCCCACAATCCCTGCTTCCTACCTTTGCTTCTTCCCCACGTTTACCTACTCCTTTCTCTGTACGCATGGATACCCTCCTCTCCCATTCCCCCTTTCCTCACCTCCGACCTCTACCGTTTTCTGTCGATTCCGTTCCGCCTTGGCTTATACCTTACCCCCTTATTTGCTCCTCTGTTTTCCCTGACCCACCTCTGTCCTTCACACCCATTTCCTTGACCATGTCTCCATTCATTCCTCCAGCATTCATGTTTTCATTGATGGCTCCAAATCCATCTCAGGAGCTGGATTCGCAGTGACCTCCCCAAATCGCACTTTCAAATACACCCTCCTTCCTGAATCTAGTGTCCTTACTACAGAACTGTATGCATTCCTTTTTGCTTTAAGACGCATATACTCACTCCCTTCTTCCTCTCACTATTTTTACTGACTCCCGTAACTCTTTAACCCTCATAAAGTCTATGCACTCGACCAATGCCCGTATCTATAAGATTCAGAACTGATTGTGCTACCTGTACACATACCATAAATCTATCAGATTTTGCTGGGTGCCCAGTCATGTTGGAATCCCCGGCAATAAACATGCACTCTAGCACGCTACGCCGTCATGTCCACATCACACCAACCAAGCTTCTCACGTGTTCCAGCCTTCCTGTATATCGATGGCAATCTTTCTAGTCAAGTCTTCGTACTAATAAATTACATACTTTAATACTATCAATCTCTTGGTCAGCTCAATTTCGTTGGAACAGACGTTAGGAGATGGCTCTCGCACGCTTACGTATTGACCACACCCGTCTCAACACACTCCTATCTAATGTCACGTTCTGATCCGCTCCTATGTCCCCTATGTAATGTCCCTATTTCAGTTCCACACATTATGTAGTCCTGTCCACGCTTTGCTGCAGCCCGCACCTCTGCATTCTCCCACCTATCCTCCCTTAACCGACCTCCCAGTCTATCAAACATCCTTAAAGAATCCCACACTTTCTGCTTTACCAACCTGTTCTCCTTCCTCAGACGCATAGATATCCTTCACTTGATCTAACCCCCTTACCTCAACCACCCTTCACTACCCTTTATTGTACTTAGATTTATTTTGCTTTTAACCATTAACCATTCGAACTAGAGTAACTGGCATGTTAGTGATGATCATTATGTGAAATTTATGCATTGCTAAAAAAATCTAAGGGTTATCTAAACAGTTATCAAGTATTATATTTTTTATATCAAAACAGCTT